GCTTCAGACGCGCAAAATGGGGATAGCTGTACCCTCTTTAGAGGGGACAATCACCCGGATTCGCCTGGATGGTGAGCTGCTGCTGCTGCTGCTGCTGCTGCTGCTGCTTAAATGGCCTTATCTTTCTGCGGCTGCTTGAGGGTTTAGGGTTTGGCATCGAGGGTTTATGGTTTCTGCTGTCTGCTGCGCAGCTGCGGAGAAGCACCTGCCGCCGACGGTGCTGCAGCTGCTGCTGCTAGGCCGCGAGCCAGCTGCAGCCGACTCCCCAGCAGCAGCAGCAGCAGCAGCAGCACCAGCAGCAGAAGCAGCAGCTGAAGCAGCATTTAGTGTGGGAGCCTTCGTAAGACAAGTCAGCGGCGAAGGCCCTGACGCTCTGGGGCAGCGGCTGCAGCAGCTCGAGGAAGCAGTTGCTGCTCTAGATGGCCGCATCCGCAGCGAGGTAAACCCTAAACCCTAAACCCTGGGCCGTAAACCCTAGATCATGATTTTGTTGCTGAGGGGCCCACTGCGGCTGCTGCTGCCCTGAAGATACGTCCAAACGAAGCAGCACCAGGACTGCAGCAGCAGCGCCTGAACTTTGCTGCTGCTGCTGTTGCTGCTGCTGTGGATGCTGCTGCTGCTGCTGTGGATGCTGCTGCTGCTGCTGTGGACGCTGCTGCTGCTGCTGCAGCTCTCTGCCCATCTCGGGTCGCTTATGCCAGGGGTCGCCTACTTCGCAGAGCTCCTGGGGCCCAGCAGCAGCAGCAGCAGCAGCGGCAGCAGCAGCAGCAGCAGCAGCACCAACAACAGCGACAGCAGCACCAGAGGCTGCTCATTTCAGGGAAGCACGGGCGAAGAAGGTGCGGGGTTGGGCTCCAAGAGCAGCAGCAGCAGCAGCAGCAGCAGCAGCACCAGTGCCGCTGCTGCTGCTGCAGAGGATGGTAGCACTAGCTGCTGCACGCAGCAGCTGCAGCAGCAGGTCAGCAGCATATCGCAGAAGGTGCAGCAGCTGCAGGACTTAACGCAGCAGAAGGCAACAGAACTTGAAGCTGCTGTGGACGAGGCAGACAGGTGTGCTGCTGCTGCTACCGGTGCTGCTGCTGCTGCTGTTGCTGCTGTTGCTGTTTGTGCTGCTTTTTGCGTTGCTCTTAGTGCTGCTGTTGCTGAGGCTTTTGCTGCTGCTTCTGCTGTTGCTGCTCGTGCTGCTGTTGCTGCCAGGGAGCGTGAGAGACACCGCATTGCCAGGATGCACAGTCTGCTGCTGCAGCAAATACTTTGCCTTGCTGCTGCTGCTGCTGCTCTTTCCGCTGCTGCTGCCGTTGCCATGTCGCCTATGCTATTCCGGTGGCTTTGCTGTTGTTGCTGCTGCTGCTGCTGGTGCTGTTGCGGTGACACCTGTGCTGCTCCTGGGACTCTGTCGCTGCTGCTGCTGCTGCTTTTACTGCTGCTGCTGCTGCTGCTGCTGCTGCAGATTGCTGGATGCTGAAGAGGTGGTGTCTCTCGCGCTGCACTTCTTACAATGCCTCAAAAAGCTAAATGCAGAAACGGCGCACCACAAGAAGGCCGACTACTTAGTCCGGGTAAACCCTAAACCCTAATCCCTAAACCCTAGTTTCTAAACCCTAAACCCTAAACCCTAGTTTCTAAACCCTAAACCCTAAACCCCGCAAACCCTGTTTAACAACCCCTACAGCCACGTGCACGCGTTGTATCGACTCTCTGTCGTTTTTGCAGCTGGAGGCCATGGCAGCAGAGGAAGATAGCAGCAGCAGCGGCAGCAGCAGCAGCAGCAGCAGCAGCAGCAGCAGCAGCAGCAGCAGCAGCAGCAGCGCGTTAAAGGGGGGCCCTGCTCTCCACAAGCTAAAATGCATGCAGCCGGCGCTGCAGCTGATGAGGAAATTAGGCAAAGAGATACGCAGCAAACCGAAGCTCTTGCTGCAGGAGTCGCTGCAGCAGCAGGTAGGTTGCTGCACAGCAGCAGCTGCTGCTGCTGCAGCTGCTGCTGCTGCAGCTGCTGCTGCTGCAGCTGCTGCTGCTGCAGCTGCTGCTGCTGCAGCTGCTGCTGCTGCAGCTGCTGCTGCTGCAGCTGCTGCTGCTGCAGCTGCTGCTGCTGCAGCTGCTGCTGCTGCAGCTGGTATAGCTGCTGCAGCAAGTATGGGGACAACAACAAAGCAAGCAGCAGCACAACAACACCAAGAAGAGTGCAGTAGCAGCAGTCCAGATCTAACCACAGCAGCCTCAGCAGCAGCCGGAAGTGATGGTCCACTGCTGCTGCTGTTGCTGCTGCTGCTGTTGCTGCTGCTGCTGCGTTTGCGGCTTCTTGCAGGACGTGCTGGGTGTCGCCGACAACCTCAAGTGTCTCTTCGCGCTGCAGCAGCCGCAGCAGGCGCTGGAAGCTGTGCTGCAGCAGCTAGCAGCAGATGCATGCCAGGCCCTGCCTGCTGAGGCGCTGCGGTCTGCTGCTGCTGCTGCTGTCGCCCCCAACACTGCAGCAGCAGCGGGAACGGAGCAGCAGCTCGACCCCGCAGTAGCCGCTGCGGCTTCATACTGTGAGCCTCTCTTCAGCAGCAGCAGCAGCAACAGCAGCAGCAGCAGCCGCAGCAGCAGCAGCATCTCCTTGGTTTGTTGCACTCCATTTCAGCAGCAAGTTGCAGCATGGGCAGTCCGCATGCTTACCTCCTTAGAAGAGAAGTCGCGTCAGGCCTTTCTGCTGGATCAAGTGAGTAGTTGCTGCTGCTGCCGTTGCTGCTGCTGCTGCTGCTTCCGCTGCTGCTGCTGCTGCTGTCAAAGCTGCTGCAGCTGTTGGTATGCCATCAAAGGCGCCTCGAGCGCGTTCTGCCGCTGCTGCTGCGCAGCTGGCGCAGTCGTTGTCGCTGCTGCTAGTGCAGAACCCTCTGCTGCTGCTGTGCTGCTGCTGCTGCTGCTGCTGCTGCTGCAGGTGCTGCAAAGCCCCGAAGCCTCCCCATTTCTAGACTTGACAATGGGGGAATGGCTGCAGGAAAAAGGTTTTGTGTCTTCTGTGGCAGAAGAGCTGCTGCGCAAGGTGTCTGTACACCTCAAGAGCTGCTGCAGGCAGCTGACAGCCCGCAGCAGGCCGCTGCAGCAGCTGCTGCAGCTGCTGCAGCAGCAGCCTGCGGACCCGCAGCAGCTGGCGCAGCAGAGATCCGCCGCGCGTTTGCTGCTGCAGCAGCAAAATGTAGACGAGGCTGCTGCCTGGTGCATGGTAGACTGCACCCCGCTGCTGCTGCTGCTGCTGCGGGCCTTTGTGCTGCGGTGGAGAAAAGCAGCAGCAGCAGGAGCTCCCTTACCGCCTTTCTGTGTGTCTCTGGTTTGCTGCGGGCGCCTATACTTTTGCTGCTGCTGCTGCGGTAGCTGGTGCTGTCGTAACTTCGCTTTGTTGCTGCCGTTGTTGCTGTTACTTTTGCGGCCATGTCGGCTTGCTGCTGTTGCTGCTGCAGCTGCTGCTGCCGCCGCTTCGGTTTGCTGCGGTTGCTGCTGCTGCTGTTGCTGCTGCTTCTGCGCGTCGGCCGAGTCCGCAGCCAGACGGATGTGCGCGAACCGCTTTCTGTTGCTGCTGCTGCTGTTGCTGCTGCTGTCGCTGCTGCTGCTGCAGCTAACGCTCAGGAGACGCAGGTGATGGCGAGTTTGGGGGAGCTTCTTGCGGTGTACAGACAGCGCATCTGCAGCGTCCACGAGGAGATGCTGCAGCTGCTGTTTTCTGCGGACTTGCTGCAGCAGGCAGAGCATGAGCAGCAGCAGCACGCGTCTCAGAGCAGCAGCAGCATGCTGCAGAAGATACGCAGCAGCAGCAGCAGCAGCGGCATTGCCGTTCTGCCCACAGCAGGAGACCTCCGTGCCTTCTTGCGACAGCTGCTGCAGCATCTTGCTGCTTCTACAGTGGCAGGGGAGCCGCTGCTTCAGGAGGTCCTTTTATCTTTTGCTGCTGCTGGATCTGCTGCTGCTGCTGCTGCCGCTGCTGTAGCTGTTGCACTGGCTGCTGCACTAGTTGCCGCTCCTTCCTGCCGCCTGCGGTCGACCACATTTGGGCGCATGCAGCTGCTGCAGCAATCGCCCCTCTGACATGCTGCTGGGCCTGTGCCTTGCTGCTGCTGTTGCTGCTGCTGCTGTTGCTGCTGCTGCTGCAGGCATCAGCTGCTTGCGATCGCTCCCTTTCTTTGTTCATGTGGCTCTGCGCCCTCCAAATCCCTCCAGCAGCAGCAGATCCGCCGTCTCTGCTGGACGACACAGTGCAGAACAGTGTGAGGACTGCAGCAGCAGCAGCAGCAGCAGCGGCAGCAGCAGAAAGTAGCGGCAGCAGATGCAGCAGCAGTAGACGCAGCAGCAGCACAAGCAGCAGCGTACCTTTCTGCTATGTCTCGTTTGCTGTACTCTTCGATATGCTGCTGTGTATTTTCACGGGTTGCGTTGCTGCTTATCTTGTGCTGCTGCTGCTGCTGCTGCTGCTGCTTTTGTCGGTGCAGCGGAGCTCTGCTGCAGCTCGCTTGTGCTTGGCGAAGACCTACAGTCTATTTTCTTTGCTGCTGCAGCGCACCAAACAGGCCGGTGAGCTGCTGCTGCTGCTGCTGCTGCTGCTGCTGCTGCTGCTGCTATTCCTTAGGGGTTTCTTTCATTCCTTGCTGCTGCTGCTGTGGGAGCAGCAGCAGCAGCAGCAGCTCGCGCTGCTTCTGCTTGCATGGGGTGTATGTACAGCGCAGAAGGGCCCAAACACCCCCGAGGGAGCAGCAGGAGCTGCTCTTCAGAGCATAAACGCCTACAAAGAAATGGATGTGATGAAAGTAAGGGTTTAGGGTTTAGGGTTTAGGGTTTAGAGTTCACGGTCCAGGAGTGATGGCTTAGGCCGAAGACTCAAGCAGTTCGAAATGATGCCAAGGGATGCCTTCGGCTTAAGGATTAGGGTTTAGGGTTTAGGGTTTAAGGCTTAGGGTTTAGGGTCAAGGGTTTAGGGTTTAGGGTTTAGGGTTTGGGACTTTGTGCTGCGGTTCAGAAAGCTCTGATGCAGCGGTGGTTTTTGGGCCCCCCCCTTATACAGATTTACCAGCAGGTGTTTGCTGTGCTGCCGATTGAGGTGCAGCAGCTCCAGCAGCAGCAGCAGCAGCAGCAGCGAGCAGATCTGCGCTGCATGCGCATGTTCGAAAGGGCTGTGATGCAGCTGAAGCAGCAATACCTTTCTTTGCTGCCTCCCCCGCTGAGCGACATCGAGGCAAAAGGCATTTGTGTCCACTTGCTGCAGGTGCTGCTGCTGTTGCTGCTGCTGTTGCTGC